AAAACCTTGAAAATCTTGAAAACATTTTTCTTAAATACTTAATTTGTAATTTTACAGTGAAATAGTACAATAGTAATATTCCTTTTGCTATTTAATATTTTAGTTTAGTAATAATAATAATTATTATTATCATATTGATATAAAATCACCAAATTTCGGGCCAAATTTTGCAATACTACAAACAAGAACAGCAAACCTGAAGCTTTTTTAAATAACAATAATTGCATTTTAAATTGCAATCGCTCTCAGATTTTCTTCCCTAAATTGTGCGGCCCTAAGATGACCTCCAGGAAGAATGCCTTTAGAAAAACACAGCAACTTGCTGTGAATGTCCCTCGACTACCCGCTCAAATGCAGCCCAGCAGGACAGACAGCAACGCTGTGTATCACACGCATTTGCAATCAAGTAGCATCAGGCTGCTGTTGAGTGACTTCAAATGCGTTTCTGTCACTAAGTTCAATTTCATTCATCTGATCTTCAGCACAAACTCCCGTCCAGCTCACATTCCTGCTCATTATCCTTACTGACGTGTCCCACAGAGTAAACAGGCAAAGCGTGATGTGAAAACCAACATCCCATACCTTCAAAAGAGGAAGTGAGGTTACAAACTAGTTTCTGAATGAGTAAACTGCTGCTGCTGCTAATGCATCTGATCATCACGAGATGAGAAAGATGACGATTATCCCATTACAACAACATGTTGCTTTAAAGGGAAACATAAAGATTTGCTTTTAATTTACTCCAAGATGTAGCTGACTGTTTTTCTCCAGTAGAACAATAAAGAAGATTTTTAGCTGAAATCATGCTCCTTGGTGATTCATGCAATGCAAGTCATTGGGTACCGGCACTTTGAGAGTCAAAAAAGCACATACAGGCAACACAAAATTAGGCCTAATCCCCGTGGCTCCTGACGATACATAAAGGTCTTATGAAGCGAAACGATCAGTCTGTGTGAGAAAAGTAACATTATTTACAAAATTACAAAATTATTACCTGTAATCCAGAGCCTCAGGCAAATGGTTCGGAGTGTCGTTCATGAACGAATCATTCTTTTGAACTGATTCTTTTTAGTGAAGTAAATGAGCCAGTGCACCAAATCAGACTAAAGCGTCTGAAACAGTTCATGGCTCGAGCAGCATAGATCTCCAGTACAAGTTACTCGATCAAAACTCACTTTCAGACGCCTGACAGTCACTCCGACTCGAAATGAGCCAAAATAGCGGCGTATCTGATCCTATGATGAATGAATCATTCAGAATCATGAAGACTAGTTTATTCACTTTATATGCTTTAGACATGTAAAACATCCGTGTTTCACATCATTATTGGGTGATTTAATAATTTAATTGCGTAACTATTACGTCATTGCAGTTGTTTGAACCAGTTCATTGAAACAAACTGTCTGAAAAAATCAGTTCATGGAAAAGAATCAAATTTCCTCGTTGCCTTACAGTGTGTTCACACCAGAAGCGAATGTAATTATTTGCACGAGTAAATTACATACAAAGTCAACGCAAAGACGCGAATAGAGGCGAATTCGCGCCGGGCGACGCGAATGACGCGAAATGCGCGACGCGTTTGCCGCGAACGCACGATATTCGCCTCAATCGCGTCTTTCGCACAAGTTCAAAAATTTCAACTCCAGCGGAAAATTCGCATGACGCGTTCTCGCGCAAGCCAATCAGCAAAGAGTTTCTTGACACGTCCAGTTGAATCAGACAATAGAAGAGAGCATTATTGTAGCCGTCTGTTATTATATAGGTCTGGAGCATAGAAAACAATTCAAATCAGTTGTAATGGTAGTTGTATTTTTATTAGCATGGCTACAGAGATGCTGCTATCAATAATAAAAATAATAGTAATATAAGTGTATATATACAGTAGTAAAATGTAACACACACATTAATTTAGGATCCTAACGTTATTCATCCTCCTCTGGATGGTGCTGTGAACCCAGACACGTCGGCGTTTGGCTTTCCATCGTATTTGGGACTTTTTGACAACAGGTACAAAACAGCGATTGTAGTTATCTCCAGCATGGTTGATCGTGCTGTTTTTTTTCGCGCGAGTGACACGAAAAACATCCCACGAGTAATCTAGAGCGAGTGACGCGATGCGCATATTCGCTTCGCGTCTGGTGTGAACACACCATTAGACTCTGGATTACAGGTAATAATGTTGTAATATAATGTTTAGTTTCTTGCACAGACTGATCGTTTCACTTCATAAGACCTCAATATATCGTCAGGAGCCACGGGTATTAATTTTGTGTTTCTTGATATGCTTTTCTGACTCTAAATGTGCTGGTAGCTGTTGACTTGCATGTCATGAATCACCAGTGACAACGTGTACGTTTTCAGCTAAAAATCTTCTTTACTCTTCTATTGAAGAAAAATGTTTCCATTTTGTATGGCCCGAGGGTGAGTAAATCAACAGCTAATTTTCATTTTTGGGTGAAATATCCCTTTAAAATGCTGTCTAGGTAGGCAGCTCACTAGATGTTGGATGTGTGCGGTTAATATAATTGACCAAAGCAGATCCTCTGTCCTTGCTTTAACATTATCTTAATGAGAAAAAGGGAGACAAATCAATCTTTCTGTTTTAAATGGATTAGCTGAACACATGGACACAAGCACAGCTTAAACATTTGCTCTAAAGTACATGTTTACTCAGAGCTGAACACTCACAATGGTATTTTACCTCGTTTACTGACACATTTCACAACTTGACCAGGGTAAACTTTGACTGTGAACTAATCCAGCACAAGATTCTACAGCACACAGCCTATAAAACTGGTCTGTTTTGGTTTTACAGGAAGGCTTTTATAAGCACAAGGTAAACATGTTTGTACTATGAGCGCATGGAAACCCGTGTGACGTGATTTCACCACAGCAATCAAGCTCTGCAGATAAACAATCTCTGAGTGTGACAAAACTATATTTCTTATCATGATGAACCACAGCTAGATGACAAGAACGTGACAAACCCGACCTGGCAAGAATGACCAGAATGAGGAAATACATCGACAAAAAATCACTCATTTACTCACATTTTTAAGGCAACTTCAAGGTTTGAGTCTTGGAGTTTTCGAGCTTGATTGCTAGAGCAGAAAATAACCACCTAGCAACCACATACAACACCCCAACGACCACCAATCGTATTCTATCAACCACCTACAATATCCTAGCAACCACCAACAACACCCCAACAACCACCCATAATATTCTAGCAACCACCTACAATGTCCTAGCAACCACCTAAAACACCCAAACAACCACCTACAACACCCTAGCAACTACGTACAATATCCTAGGAACCACTTACTACACCATAATAACTACATACAATATCCTAGTAACTAGCAACCGCCTAAAACACCCTGGCAACCACCTACAATATCCTAAGAACCACCTACAACACTTTAACAACCACGTACAATATCCTAGTAACTACTTACAATGTTAACACCCCAGCAACCACCTATAACAATCTAACAACAACCTACACCTCCCCAGCAACTACCCACAACACTCTAGAAACCACCAACAACACCCTAGCGACCACCAACAAAACCATAACAACCACCTATAACAGTCTAGCAACCACCTACAACACCCTAACAACCACATACAATATCCTAGTAACTACTTACAATGTCGACACCCCAGCAACCATCTATAACACTCTAACAACGACCTACACCACCTACTACAACACCCTAGCAACCACATACAACACCATAGCAACCACCAAAAACATCATAGCAACCACTACCCACAACCCTCCCACAACTACAACCACTACCCACAACACTCTATAAAAACCACCAACAACACCCTAGCAACCACCACCAACGTCATACAACCACCTATAACACCCTAGCAACCACCACCAATGTCATACAACCACCCACAACACCCTAGCAACCACCTATAACACCCAAGCAAACAACCTACAGCACCTTAGCAGCCACCTACAACACCCTAGGCTGGCAAGTGGCAACCTTCACACGTGTACTTCAGAAAATGTAAAAATCTAGATCTACATATAATTTAAGGCTATTTCTAAATATAATGCTGTTATTAGGTATTTCAGCATGGAGAGACGTGACAGAAGAGGACAATAATCCAGTCTGTTGCTGGTTGCCATCTGAAGTTATTTTGGGCTCAAGCTCCTGATCCCCAGAGATGAATAATTTTCACAGGTTATTTCTGACTGTCATTAGAAACCTGCAAACGTCAGTCTGCCGTCTCTTCTACTGACCAGACAACAGACTCCAGAACCAAAACATGAGTGAGCAATGGACACAAACACAAGCCTGGGATCTCCTGAAGATCCTAAAGCAGTGATCTCAACATCTAGTAGATCTAGAAGATCTCTGTTTTAGTGATGAACACATGAATCCTCAGAGGACAATATTATTTCTCAGAGATGCTCTTTCAAACCTCAGGAGACTTAAAAATGAAAATCCTAAAATTTCTCTGGAGAATAAAACACACAAATGAGTCGTATAGAACTATAAAATGAATATGGAGCAGCTCAGATCATTTGATGAGAAATGATCAAGTTCATAGCGAGATCTCTGATTACAGACTTTTGAAATCTGAGCACAGTTAAGACACTGTTGAGATCTCTTCTGAAACTCCACTGGAGACACATGTGACACTGTTGGAGTCTTTTTCTCAGGAGAAACACCAGAGAAGCAGGAGACGGCTCTCTATTTCATTTCACTGTTGTCTTGGAGAAACAACTGAGATGATCTGCAGGTCTTAAATAAGTTTCAACCTCTAGATCTTATAGAAGATCCAGAAGATCAGAACACATTAAAAAAAAGTTTTATTTAGGGCAGGGGTGTCCAAACTCGGTCCTGGAGGGCCGGTGTCCTGAAGAGTTTAGCTCCAACCCCAATTAAACACACCTGAACCAGCTAATCAAGCTCTTACTAGGCATACTAGAAACTTAAAGGCAGGTGTGTTGAGGCAAGTTGGAGCTAAACTCTGCAAGACACCGGCCCTCCAGGACCGAGTTTGGGCAGCCCTGATTTAGGGTATCAGGAGCAGGAGATGTAAGTGACCTTCACCATTTGCTCTCTATTTCACGTTATTACGGTCTAGAAGAGATATTAATGAGACTAACTGATCTTTTTTCACAGGTCCACATGACAAGAGTTCATTAAATGGTGGATAAACTTCCTTTTAACATTAAATGTAGGCATCATGAGCTGGTTCAGACTTGCAGTAAAGCCAGTCTTCGGATGTCTGTTCTTAATGGAGCTTTACTGACCAGAAAAAAGAATTATGATGCAATGGCTGGTGATGCAAGTCGGTCTGTTTTCTGTAGTTATATATTAAAGCCACACCTAACCTGACAGAAACAAGATCTGACATGCGTTCTCCTTCATGAGGAACCATTGTGCAATTCATCCAAATCAACCTTATGTTATTATCAGCATGCAACTATGTCTGCCACTCACCCAGTGTCTTAACGGCGATCTGCTTGGTGAGCGGCGGCGGCAGGTTGATGCACACCAGATCCACATCCGAATGCAGCAGCACGTCATCGATCCGGTTAGTGTAGAAGGGCACGTTCATATCTCGCGCGAGCTCCTCCGCCTCCTCCTGCGTGCGACCCCACAGCGCCTTCACCGAGAAGCCCTCGTTCTTCAGCAGAGGGATGATGACCCGGGTCGTCAGACTGGTGCCGAACACACCCACCCCGGGCAACATGACTGTCGCGCGCGGATGCTCACACACCGGAGGCGGGTGACCCGGCGGGTGCGGGTTCGAACCCGAGCAGGGCTGTTGTGTTAACTATGACCATTGCGCCTTTGGGTTCCTCCCAGCTGGAGAATCCGCCAATCCTACTGTGGCGAAGGCTTGTTGCGTGAATATTAATCACGCAGCGTGACGTTAAGCAAGGAGGACCGTCTGATTGGCTGACGGCGGGTGGGCGCTGGGTCAGCTGGCGAATCCGAAGACGGCGTAGGCGTGGCTTATGAATATTTCAGACAGATTAATATTCATAAGCAAAGCCTGCGCCGTAGTGGGATTGGAAAAGGCAGCAGAATTATGCATACAGCTCGTTTGATCACAGCTGGAGACAGTGACTGCAGTGAATGGAAACACAATAACCCAGCGAGAAGATGACAAATGAATTATTATTAATTTAAAAACGTTTAATAAATGGCAGGGAAGACAATAAAGGGACCATATTGAGTATTAGAGCAACAAAAGGTGAAAAAAGACAATAAAATAAAATAAAAAATATATATATATTTTTTGTTTATATAATAATACACGTAAACACACAGAAATATGATTATATAATATATATTGATTATTTTAAATAGTTTATCTTACAATAGTTTGTATAATAAACCAATGTCATATTAAGATAATTCATTTTGAGTGTCAGTGCTTAAAAGGGTCATATGATGCGATTTAAATTTTTCCGTTCTCTTTGGAGTGTTACAAGCTCTTGGTGCATAAAGAAGATCTGTAAAGTTGCAAAGACTAAAGTCTCAAATCCAAAGAGATATTCTTTATAAAAGTTAAGAGTCAACCACGCCTACCTAAAACGGCTCGTTCTAACACGCCCCCACATATCTACCTCACTATGTGGGAAGATTTACATAACGCCGCCCAAATGTTCACGCAAAAAAAGAAGGCGTAACTTTTATTCTCGATGTAGTTTTGTTGTTTCCGCCGCCATGTCGTAAAGACGCTGTGTGCTTCGTTGTGAAAGCGAAACTACTTTCAAAAGAGGACGATATCCGCTT